TTTTTATGTTAAAGTCCTAACCCCCAGTACCTCAGAAAGTGACTGGATTTGGAGATAGGGTCTTTAAGGAGGTAAGTTAAAATAGGTCGTTAAGTGTGGGCCCTTATCCAATATGCCCGGTGAGGAGGTTAGGACCAGGTACGCGCAGAGGGAAGACCGTGTGAAGGTGCAGGGAGGACCACCATCTACAAGCTAAGTAGAGAAACCTCAGAAAAAACCAACCCTGCCAAAACCTTGATCTTGGACTTGTAGCCTCTGGAATTTTGAGAAAATAAAACTATGTTGTTTAAGTCATATGGTCTATGTTGCTTCGTTATGGCAGCCCTAGCAAACTGATACATGTTTCTAAATATATTTCTGAAATATAGGAGTACAAAAGAAAAAAGATTGAAGAAAATACACAAGATTATAATATGCAACACAGGTTTTACATATTCTAAATGCTGACTTTTTTAAACTGCTAAAATTTTGTTCAAATACAAATTTATTTAATCGTAATCTCAATGCTCAACAAGTGCCTAGTTGTCTAATTTCGAGCAAACAGAAAAATAAGTAGAATCTAATCTTAATAAGTTGAAGCTAATTCAGAATTTAAGTAAATACAGGATCTGTCTAAATTTAATTCCTCAAACTCCATAAAACATTCATAATTCAGCAAACCAGTATTTTGCAAATAACTGATGCATCTTATAAAATGATGTATGGTTAAAAAAATATTCATTTAAAGGGCAAGAAAGTCCATTGGATTTTTATGTAACAGAAAACAAAATGTTCATTGATATGGTTTCAGATTTTGCTTGCAACTAACCTTTAAGAAATCACTTGATGAATTTTGGGATGGTATCAAAGAAGAAAATTCACTATTATCTGAAAAGGCCATTAAAATACTCCTTTCTTTCCTAATTACATATCAGTGTGAAGTTGGGTTCTTTATATATATTAAAAAAAGTTACAAAAAGATAATGCAGAAACAGAGGTGAAAATTCAGCTACCTTCTTTTAAGATAAATTTCAAAACTCTGCAAACTTATATAAATTACATTCTTACTGATGTTTTTGTTTTAAAAAATACATTTTTATAAAATTATGATATTGATCTAAACATGAAATAGTCATTACTGTTATTTGCAAATCAGTTAGTTTTTTTCTTTTTTAAATTATATTTTGATTATACTATTACAGTTGTCCCGATTTTCCCTCCTTTGCTCCCCTCCACTCAGCTCCCCCTACTCCCTCTGCACCCCGCCCCCCACCAATGTTCATGTCCATGTGTCATGTGTATACGTTCTTTGGCTACTCCATTTCCTATACTGTACTTCACATCCCCATGGCTATTCTATAGCTACCTATTTGTATTTCTTAGTCCCCACACCTCTTCACCCATCTCCCCTTCCCTTCTACCACCCTGTCAACCATCTGGTAACTAACTGCTTTTCTCCTGCTGCTTTTAAGAGTATCTCTTTATCTTTAACCTTTGCCTTTTCATTATGCTGTGTCTTGGAGTGCGCCTCTGCATCCACCTTGTTTGGGACCCTCTGTGCTTCCTGGACTTGCATGTATATTTCCTTCATCAAATTAGGGAAGTTTTCTTTCACTATTTTTTTCAAGTAGATTTCCAATTTCTTGCTTCTTCTGTTCTCTTTCGGGCACCCCTATGAGACGAACATTGAACCTACTGCTGTCCCAGAGGATGCTTGTTTTTTTTGGAGTCTTTTTCCTTCTTGTTCTTCTGATTGTTGTTCTTTGCTTCCCTATGTTCCAAATCATTGATTTCATTCTTGACTTCATCCACCCTACTGTTGTTTCCCTGTAAATTGTTCTTTATTTTGATTAGCGTATCCTGTTTCTGACTGGGTCTTTTTTATGCTGCTGAGGTCCTCAGTAAGTTCCTTGAGCATTCTTAGAACCAGCGTTTTGAATTCTTCATCTGGTAGACTGCTTATCTCCATTTCGTTTCGTTCTTTTTCTGGAGTTTGGATCTCTTTTTTCATTTGAGCCATGTTTCTTTGTGTCCTCATTTTGGCAGCCTCCCTGTGTTTCTTTCTATGTAATAGGTAGAGCTTCTGTGACTCCATGTCTTGGTAGTGTGGCCTAATATAGTCAGTGTCCTGGAGGGTCCAGTGTCACAGCCTCTCCTGTCACCCAAGTTGAGTACTCGAGGTGCTCCCTTTGTGTGGGCTGAGTACACCGTCCTCTCATAGTTGAGCTTTGGTTGCTCTTGGCAGATCAACGGGAGGGATTTACCCAGGCCAGTCAGCTGCAAGGATTGACTGTGACCACTGACCACCAACCTCTGCCTTCCGTGGAGGATCAGCTGTGCAGGGGCAGGGTGGTGGTGCTCCGAAGTGGTCTGTAAGCCGTCCACTGGGTGCACTGGCCCTGGGGTTTCCCCGGTAGTACAGGCCCAAGTCAACCCCCACCTGTGTTTTGCCCGGGGCCGCCCTGCCTGAGCTCTCAAGCAATCTGAGATGGCTGCCCCTTGTGCTGGGCTTGGATTCCCAGGCGAAGCCAAGCTGTGAATTCAGTATGGCAGCCGCTGGGGCCCACTGAAGCCAGCTAGTGCTTGTTTGATAGGATTGAGGAGCCAAGACCAGCCATTCTTATGGAAAAGAAGCTTGGGAGGGCCCATGAGTTGGGTGGGGCAGAGCCTCTGGGGATCTCCAAGGTTGGTCAAACAGTGTTAGCCAGTTTGATGGAGTCTCAGATAGGACATCAGCTTGCTGGCTCTTTGGAGGGGGGAGGTTAGAAAAGGGACAATGGCCTCTGCTTGCCTTGTTGCCAGACAGGTTTCTCCCTGTATACCACTGGTGCCTTTTCAGCTGCTACCCCAGTGCTGGAGCTGAGAGGGAGTGAGCCTGAGTAGGTGAGTCTGTGTGTGGGTTCTTTAAGGGGGAATGCTTGGGGCTCCAGAAGTTTCTTCTACTGACTCAATCCCCGATGGTTTTTGCAGCTGGAAGCTGTGGGGGTCTTATCTTCTTGGAGCTGAGAGTTCTTGGCTGGGGTCCTGGTGTGAGCTTGCGACTCCTTGCTCCCAAGATACCTCTCCCAAATTTTTATCCACATGGGTGTAAGACCAGCCCATTCCACATCTGTACCCCTCCTACCAGTCTTGATGAATGTAGTTTCTTTAATTTTGTAGTTGTAAGACTTCCATTTAACTCAATTTTGTGGTTGTCACACTTCCATTGAGCTCAATTTCTGACATTCCTGAGTGATGGCTGTTTATATTTAGTTGTAATTTTGATGTGGTTGTGGGAAGAGAGGAGCTATGTCTGCCTATGCCGCCATCCTGACTGGTAGTTGCAAATAAGTTTTTAAACAATCATTTCAATTTCTAATACAGTGAATACAACTTACATAAACAAAAATTTCTTTGAAGTCCTAGTTAGAGACCAAATTGTGTCTCCCTCCAAATTCATTTGCTGGGGCCCTAAAACCCATGTGACTATATTTGAAAGTTAGGGCCTTTAAGGAGGTAACTCAGGTTAAATGAGGTTGTAAGAATAGGGCCAGCCCTAATCCTTTAGGACAGAGATTCTCAAAAGAGGGGGAAAGACACCAAAGACCTCTTTCTAGGTGTACACAGAGGTCATGTGAGGACTTGGTAAGGTGGCCACCTATAGGTCAGGAAGAGAGGTCTCAGCAGCAACCAACCCTGCCTAGCTCCTTGATCTGGACTTCTATCCTCCAGGACTGTGAAAAAATAAGTGTCTATTATTTAAGCCACTCAATCTATGGTATTTTGATATAGAAGCCCATGCAGACTAATATTTTTAAAAGATTAAAAGCTTAAAATTTTTGAAAAAAATTTTGAAAATCACTGAATTAGACAATAACCATTTGCTTGTATGAATTAAAATGTTGGTAAACAAACTTCTTACTTCACATTTACCACTTGGAAGAGTAATCATAACTCTCATTAGCTATTTGAAATGGAAAGAAAGGGAGAAAATTAAAGTCATCTTTAAAATAGCCTTATTTTTACTTGATGTATATAATTATATACCATCTGAAAGCCTATGAAAATGGTGAAACAAAGTGGGAAAGAATTAACACAGACTACTAAGGCATTTGCTTTGCTTTTCATCATCAGATAACCAAGCTTGATGTTTGGCTAGTGCATTCTAGCTCTTAGAGTATTTGTTCAATCTGTTAATTTTCTGAATATAATGTCAGACATAAATAAAAGAAGAAACTTTCAGTTTTGCTACATATGGAAAAAAATAACTGAATAAATCAGAAGAAATCAGACTGATAAATACAGTAAGTGCAATTTTTTTAACCATAAAACTTATAAAAATATACAGGGAAATAATAAAATAACAGTAAAAAACTATTTCAATATATGCAAAAATAAAAGATTCTGCTCTCCTAGTAACTGCTGTTGATATAGCAAAAATGGTAGCAAAGCTGTAGAAGTAACCAAGAATGATAATTTCAATAGCTAAGGGACTTTAAGTAGTTAGTAAATTATAAATGCTTATTAGATAAGTGGGAAAAAATGTATTTACCTCAACAAGAATCTAAATTTCATGGACACAAATTTGTTTTGGGGTTGCTTTTTAATAGCATGTAAATTGTGCACTCAAGTACGACAGTTTTATGTACAGTAGTAGTGCAATCTAAAAATCATGCAAAATGCTTAATTTCTAAGGCTCTAAAGCTACACTGAAAATTACATTTTAATAAATTTCATTTCATATAACTTTGTATGTAAAGAAAATACTAATTCAACTTGAGTTAACTTCTCTTGGTTCGATGTTTGTATGAAAAGTAATTATGCAATCCTTTTGGAAAAGTATAAATCAATCTATGGGCATGCAAGTGCCAATTTTATCTTATGAGAATTTCTCCATGTTCCAGTTACTTCATTCCTTATTACATGCTGCAAAAAGCAGTAATAATTTTTATAGCCAAATATCACTTTGTAAGATACCAGGTGGCTTTCAATATTTACTATAAGTCATGCATGAAATTTAAACATTACAAAAAATGACTTACCAGTTGACACTCCTGAAATATGCACATTTTCAGAATGTTCTGCAAGAGCACCATTTCCTAAAATTAAACATAATGAATAAACTAATTTCCAAGATAAAATTTATTAAAATTTTTCAGATTCTCCCTTAAAAAATAACTACATAGAGCTACTTGTAATATTTAGAAACTATATTAAAGTCTATAATATTCTTCAAAATAATATGATGAAGCCCAACATTTTAATAGTAGGGAAAACAAAACATGTTGGAAATTACAAAAATGTAATGTAATAATATATAAAGGTCAAATATACAGATCTGAGTAAAACCAGAAAAAATTCCCTATCTAGTTAAGAGTCAAAAGAGAACTCCATACAGCTACTAGAAAAGAGAGAATCATGTACCTTTAAAAATGGCATTCCTCTAAGAACACGCTCAATTCGTCAACAATGTGTCTCCTGCTAGGGTCACACATGTTGGTACATTTAAAAAAATGCCTTGCATTGTCTCTTTCAACCTTTTATCAACGACTCTAATACCATTAGGGAAAAAATTATATCCTATTTTGCTATCCCTTGATTTTCTGTATCTCCTACCATAAAGTTGGGGGACATAAACCATTCAAATAACTTACTGAACTATCACCTAATAAATAAGTGTTTTTAAAAAGACTCCCATTTAAAGGACTAAGGATGCTTACTCCTTCAAATTAATGTGAATAGTGTCCCTTCAGGTATTCTTTTTGTAAATTTTAATTTGATTTTATTATAAATTAATTCTATCTACCTCTGTTCTTTCTTTTCTTGTACGAATTGTTTATCTTTACTTTCAAAGTTTTGTCTTTCTCCAGCCCTTTGGTTGGTTTAGCTTCACAACAGCTCAGAAACCCAGCAGACAGAGAAAGAACTTCTTTGGAGTGGAGTAAGAGAAACCTAGAGGGCTAAAAGCTGAACTGTCTTTGACGGGTATTTCTTAACCATCACGTTATCTCTGTAGAAAGTAGCAATTATGTTAATTAACTTTACTTTTACAACCATCACACTTCTATGATTCCTTGATTAATGTACAGTATAGAATCTAAGAAAGAAGAACCTGTGTTTATCTGGTTCGACACTGCATGCGCAGTTCCTGGAACAGAGCAGGTGCTCAAAGAGCTGATGGATGAATACATGAGGGAGGTCATGATGATTAAATGAAATCATGCCAATTAATAAGCACTTGATACAATGCCTGGCACACAGTCAACACTATGTGTAAAATACTGAAAAATAAAGTGATAAAAAATTTTTAGTTCAACTACAGTTACACCCTTCAAAATGAAAAGAAATTGTTTTTCCCTATACTAAAAAAATGGTGGAAATTGTGACATAGGTATATAAACCATATTCAGTATATCAATAATCTGATATTTATTTAAGTTCTGCATATTAATACCATATAAACCATGATTTTTTTTCCAGCAATGTTAAAGCTACTGACAGAATTCAAACTACTAGGAAGCCTCCACCTATTTCTTTAATGTGCACAACTTGTAAGAATTGATAGCACAAACAAAATGATGTAAGAAACTGATTCAATAAAACAGCAAGATTTGCCAAAAGTCAGCATAAATTGCCTAAATCTTTGCTCCTCAAAAGGAGACCAGTATTACTGGCAACATCAGGAGCTTATTAGAAATGCAGAGTCTCAGAACCCACCTCAGATTATTGAATCAGAACTACATTTTAACAAGATCTTCCCCCACCCCAATCATATGTACCTACATTAACATTTCAGAAGTGCTGGTTTAAACCTTCTACTTCTATATTAGAAACAACTACAATTATAGCTCTGTAATCTGTGTCCCTAAGGTTTCTGATATTCTTAAGGTAGCAAATTAAATTATTCTCAGGAGTCTTAAAATTAGATCTATTTTATACACCCCCCCCCCCCCAATTCTGTAAACAGAATACAGAGGCAGAAGGAAAACAGTTGCATCAAGTACTATTTAAGACTGTGGATTCTGGACTAGATTGCAACTATGCTAATACCGGCTCCACTACTTATTTGATGAGTACTATAGGGCAAGTTACCCAACGTCTTTGTCTTTATTTCACCTTTAAAATGGAGAATTTTACTAAGCCCTATCTTACAGGGCTTAGTGGAATTCTTTATAATAAAAGAACAGAATTAATCTAAATTGCCATCAGCATGCAAATGAATAAGCTAATATAGCCTTATAAAATATTCAACACATTAATTTTGTATGTACTAACTTGGAAAGATATGCATGTTAAGTTTATGTTTCAGAATGAATTAGAATATAATCTAATTTTAACTTTAAAATGAATGTATATAGTTAATACACATGTTTACATAAGCATATATGTATATACAAGAGTTTCAAGGTATATACAAATTGTGGAAGAAAACCTTTGAAGCTGGGAATAAAAAGACCTCTTGCATACTTTAGCATTGATAGAGTATGTTACAATAGGCAGAAATTTCTATAAACATTTTTATTCATATAACCCCCCAAAAAAGAATAGGTGAAGAAAATACAGTTCAATTCCCACTGATCTAAATAAATGGGAAGTTTGATATTGTATAAAATATTATAAAATATTTTAATTTCATAAAAGCATTATTAATGATTTTTAAAACTGATAAACAATACTTTAAAACATAAAACATGATATTGCTAATTTCCCACACATTTACTTTAACTCAGAAACAATACTATTTAGAAATTTAAAAAGTCAATAATAATTTGTTAACATCAAATAACCATTCCCTTTTTGGGTTATGTTAAATATTTCCTTTTCTGATTATCACTTGAAGTGACTACTGAATTTAGGTATAATGCCATTCTAAAAAGATGTCACTTACATAACAATTATTCCCATGTTATAAGCAGATAGCCCCCCTCAACTTGCTTCCTTGATACAAAACTAATGACATTCTCCCTAAAGTCCTTTCTCCAACCCCCCAGAGATGAAAACCCCATACATATAAAGGTGTACACACCCCAACACCTCCTTACTACAAGTACAGTGCTGCCATGTTAGATATTCTCAGAGATGTTATCCTGGAAAAATACAGTCTGATAAATCATTACTTCTATAACTATACATTATCAGCTGACTAGTGAATGAACTGATTAATTAGAATGCCTAAAACACAGTTTTCAAGTAAGAAAAAGTTTTATTATCACCTAAGTCAAGAAATAATTTTTATGACAATTTTTTTCAGTCCTACTAATCAATTAACAAAGGTGACCACTTTTCCACATTTTTCTTGCCAAGATGAAACATGGTTTTCTAGTTTTTGACTGCAATTCAAGAGACAGAAGCTTCCAAAAGAGATACCATTTTAGGAAAAGTGGCCAAACGGCATTGAGTTTGAGCTCTGGAACCAGGCTCCCTGGAATTAAATCCCAGCTCTACTATTTATTAGCCATGAACCTTAATTAAACTACATCTCCTAACATTTGGTTTACTCACCTGAGTAATTAGAATGTCATCAATAAGAGAATATGTAAACTTATGGTCTCTGTATCCCTGTTGCTTTGTATCTTTCTGTTTATTTTTTTTTTAATTTGAGAACTTAATAGATATGTGCCAGCCAAATCCTAAGTGCCTTACAAACTTTCCTTCAGCTCATCTTTAAAACAGTTCATTTTACAGCCAAGAAAACTAAAGCTTCTAGCAACTTAGTAACTTTTTCAAAGAGCTAGTAATTGGATGATTTGAAAATTCATATCCCCAATCATTGAGAAGTTTGTGTTCCTTACTTTAAAAAAAGAATTCAGGATCTATACCAATTTCCATGGCATTTAGAAGTTTGTGTTCCTTAGCTTCTTAAAAAGAATTCAGACATGAATGTATTTTTTGCTTATTAAAAAAATGTACTTAACTTTCAGAGTTAAAACCTATAGTCACAGTTATTCCTATCTGTATCAAGGAACATCACTGGTTTAAAAATTAATGAGTGGCAGCTGCAAGTAACATATGCTCAGCATCCTACAATCTCATTTCCACTGTGCAGTGAGAATAGTAATCAAACATAAATACATATATACACATATGTGAGGTCTGTCCAGAAAAAGTCCAGTCATTGTTAATAAAAAAGAAGAGTTTGGGCAACATCAATGTAACCTAGCAACCAAGGAGAGTGGACTGGAATGCACATGCATGAACAATGACTAATTCACTATACCAGTCAGTGGAGGTGATAGACACTGTTAAGTGAGCATGTGTACTGTGTGGCTGCCATATTCAAGATGACTGGGCAAATATCAAAGACAGAGAGAATCTTAAAGGCAGTAAGGGAGAAACAGGAAGTAATATCCAAGGGAGCTCTGATACAGCCAGCAGCTGACTTCTCAAAAGAAACACTACCAGCCAGAAGGAATGGCAAGAAATATTCCAAGTAATGAAAAACAAAGGCCTGCAACCAAGACTGTTCTATCCAGCAAGGCTCTCAATTAAAATGGAAGGCGAAATAAGGAGTTTCCCAGACAAATGAAGGCTAAAAGAATACGTCTCCACCAAACTAGCACTGCAAGATATGCTAAAGGGACTGCTTTAAGATGAAGAAAAAGAGTGAGAGAAGAACACAGGAACAAAGGGAAACAAATGAATAGGTGCCTATCAATAATAACTTTAAATGTAAATGGATTAAATGCTCCAAGCAAAAGACACAGGGGAGCTGAATGGATAAGAAAACTTGACCTGCACATATGCTGCCTACAAGTGACCCCCTTAGAACAAAGGACATATACAGACTGAAAGTAAAAGTATGGAAAAAAATATTCCAAGCAAATGGACAGGAAAAAAAAGCTAGGGTAGCAATGCTTATATCAGACAAAATAGATTTCAAAACAAAGTCCATAAAAAGAGACATAAAAGGACACTTCATAATACTCAAAGGAAGAATTCATCAAGAAGACATAAGCATTGTAAACATACATGCACCTAACGTAGGAGCACCCAAAAATATAAAAAAAATCTTGAAGGACTTCAAGAAAGATATAGACAGTAACACACTAATAGTAGGGGATTTTAATACCCTACTGTCAACAATGGTTAGATCTTCCAA